AGCCAGGATTTTGTAATTCGGGGGTGGGGGGCCTTTAAATAAGTCAGGGGGCAGTGACGTCACAAAATAAGGAATAGAAATAAAAATTTAAAAACTCACTTTTGCAGCATTCGCACTCTGCTTGCCTACATGGGGAAGCAAGCCACACTTGCGGGAGGGGCGGTGGTGGGGAGTCCTCCAGGTGGCCCAGAGAGCCGGGGGGCGGGCGCTGGGGCTGGATGGAAGTCAGGGGGCCAGGCCCCGAAATGCCCCACTGTAGCTATGGGCTGGGGGGGGGGAATCACCTGACTCACATTATCTCCCTCTCGTTTCCTCTACTTTAAGCTCCCCAACACTTGGTTGAGACCACATGCAATACTGACAATGCGCAGAGAGTGCCGTCACAAAAAGGACACTGCAAGGATGGGGACAATCACACAAGAGACTGGCTTTTGGGAAGAGACTCGGCGTGGCTTCAGTTTAAAAGAAAGGGCCGGGCTTTTTGTCTCCGGGGCCAAAGGCAGTGGCGGCCAAGCCCAGTGAGATAAGGAAGTCCACGCCTCAGGCCGAGTCAAGGGTGTGTGGCTGTGTGAATGCCTGGAATGAATACGGTTCTTTGTTGGTATTGAGATATTTGGTTAACAGAGCAGAGCTTTGCCCAGTCACAGAAGCATGATGCTGTGCAGGAAACAGATCTCCGGAGAAGTATATTGCAAAAAAGGTAAAGTGACATTTATTCAAGTAGATCCAGTTCACAACCAGGCTGCAGACAAAAGGAGAGAGAGAAAGCCTAATCTAAACAGTACTATCACTAATGGCCAGCTTGTCTGACATCATGTGTGTGGGAGTAGGAGGGCATTGTCTCTACAAGAGAGACCTGCAGAGACATGTGGCTCCACGGAAGGCCATGTGAAGAGAGGGAGAGGACAAAGTGACAGAGAGAAGAGGCCAGCGGGCAGCTCCCAGGTTACGACAAAGAGAGCCATCCCATTTAAGGAGCTAAGAGAGGCATCCCACTTAAGGAGTTAGGGTTAGTCCAGGGCTGTTGTGAACCCACTATACACACATAGAGTGATATAGTGCCCCCCAATGTCTAGGCATGCTGAATCGCTCGCTCCAACAATTAGTCCAGGGCTGTTGTGGGTTCTCCCTTCTTGGAGGTGTTTAAGGGGAGGTTGGCCGATTATTTGTCGGGGATGCTTTAGGTCACCTGGCATGGTGCAAGGGAAAAGTTGAAGACAGCCCCCCCCCCCATTTATAAGAGGAATCCCTTTATTTCTGCACCCTGCCAAGGAGACCCAAATGCACCGAAAGTCCTTGGCCTTTGCATCCAGACAACAAAACCCTACAGGGCTGGGCGAGGGAGAAGAGCTATGGTTTTGATTCTAGGGACAGGATCCACACCCGGGGTGTCATCTCTGCTTTCATGTCTCAGCGCGTGCAGCCGCGCTCCTGTTTAATGAATAACTTCAGACAAACAGGCTGGATTCCGACACTCCCTGCCCCGTCATGCAGTTGCATGAGTCGGTGAACCAGGAAGGCGAGAGCAAGTAAAGGGGGGGGCGCCTTCTTTACCTTGCAGAATTGAGGCTGTGGGGCAAAAGGAGGCGTTCAGAAACAAACTAAGGAACCTAATAGGGTTCCTGGCACTCTTGGCAGAGGTGGCCACCCACACCAGGAATGTGAAGAGCGAAAGTTGGGAGGGCGACTCCTTGCAAAGGATTCCCACACACACACACATAAAGCAAGCCAGACTGATCCCCAGCACAGCAACTTCAGGGTCAGGGTGGGTTGCAGGAGTCCAACACAGCACGAGACGGTGAAGCCGTAAAATGTGTACCTTGCCGCAAAGGGAAATGTTGTTTGCTCCTGGTTGTGAAAAGCAACTCGGGTTCTGCCACGAAAGAGGCGGTGAGTAACCGCCTTGCTGCAGTCAAAGTATCCAGCTTGGTGAAGGTGGTTTGTACACACTGTAGTGCAATCCTATACAGTTACTTCCTTCTCAAGCCAGTGATTCCTGGTTACAGATTTCAACAAGCATCGATGGGTGTGACTCTGGGTAGAGCAGCACCGTTTCTCACACACCCATCCCAAACTTCCCCCCCTGCTCCCTCTGAATAGTTCAGTTGTATATTCCTCTGGACACAGATTAAGTCTATGGCTTGGTTTTTTTTAAAGAAATCTGGAAGTTAAAATCACACAAACTGTTCGAGTGAAATAAAAACGGGTTAAATACCGGTAACTGCTTCTCTTTAAAAGCTACGTGCAGATGAGCAGGGCTGGGACCGCAGTTGGATCTACTTTGACTTCAAAGGATTCCAAAGCAGGGTTGGATTTGTTCTGCTCAGGCAAAGGTGAGGGTTTCCCCCCCTTGGTTTGCTTTTTGGAGGGAAAAAACCCAAAAGGAGATGCAGCCAGATCGTGCCAACGCCACTGATAAATTGCAGGTCCTGTTTTTTTTTTTAAACGTGCAAAGGAACAATTTGACTTCCACTAGATGTAGAACTAAGGATCCGAGCCCTGTGAGAAAGGAATGAACCGGTCAGCCTCAAAAGTTTCAAACTCACTGGACTCCTTGCTAGGATGGAGAAAGAGGACCAAATGAGGTCAAAGTTTGCGTTACGTTTCAGTTCCGAGAGCGAGCAGGTCTGCAGGCAGCAGACTGATTGATATTCCAAGCAAGGAGAAAGAGCTGGCAGAGGATTGAGCATCTGGAACCGGAGGCAGGCTTACCACCAAATGATGAGAGAGTTGGAGCACATTCCCTAGGAGGAAAGGTCGAAGAATCTGGGACTTTTCAGTTAGAAAAGAGACGACCAAGGGGGGATAGGCTAGAGGTTTATAAAATCATGCATGAGGTGCAGAGATTGGACCAAGAGAACTGTTTCTCCCTCTCTCAAAAGACTAGAACGCGAGGGCACCCAATGAAGCTGATGGGCAGGAGGCTCAGGATGGACAAAATGAAATACTTCTTTACACAGACAGCGATTGAAATGTGGGATTTGCTGTCAGAGGATGTAGTGATGGCCACAGCTCTAAAAGGGGATTAGTTACTCATGGAGGATAAGTCTATCAATGTCTACTAGCCATGGTGACTGAGGCGAACCTCCACATTCAGAGGCACTAATTCTCTGAATCCCAGAGCCGGAAGGCAACATCAGGGGAAGGCCTCTATGCCCTGTTGTTGGCCCTCCAGAGGAACTCGTTGGCCACTGTGTGAGACAGGATGCTGGACTAGATGGACTATTTATCTGATCCACCAGGGCTCTTCTGATGTTCTTAGGAAGGCCTCGGCCTCTATGCCCTGTTGTTGGCCCTCCAGAGGAACTGGTTGGCCTCTGTGTGAGACAGGAGGCTGGACTAGATGGACTTATTGGTCTGATCCAGCAGGGCTCTTCTGATACTCTTATGAAGACCTCAGCCTCTCTGCCCTGTTGTTGGCCCTCCAGAGGAACTGGTTGGCCACTGTGTGAGACAGGATGCTGGACTAGATGAACTATTTATCTGATCCAGCAGGGCTCTTCTGATGTTCTTAACACCCACCATCTTTAGGATATCTCTGAAAACCTTCCTTAGGGAGTTAGAACAGGAAAGCTCTCTGGATCTGTGTGTATCTGGAAACCCTCAGTTTAAGGCAGTCACAAATCACACCGTCAGTTTACATTGAAGAGAGATTTAAGCCTGAGTTCTACTACATGAGGGACTAGGACCAGAACGGGCAGCTGTGCGCCAGAGCAGTTCTCCGCAGCGCTACTGCACCACGACGGACACCCATTAGTGCTTGACCCAGGCCATCAAGATTATAAGGCTGGTTTGGGAGCTGCCGGCTAACTCCCTCGGTAAACAAAGGGCATGTTTCAAAAGATGCATGGAGCTGCCAAGACAGCTGACTCAAATGGCAAAGCCGCACTCTGAGAACTGACAAGACTCCAGAACACTTCATTCCCCCCCTCCCGGCTGCTGAGGAAGGACAATGCCGGTCCTCTTGAACACTGTATCCAAATTATCACGGCAGAGAGAAGTTATGATGGCTGGGGAATGCAAGGCAGCACATCAGAGTCGGCTCGGCATGCACCGTTAAAACCAGCGAATGCAAGACATTTCACATCAGGTGCACCTGATGCCCTTGCACAGTTGCGACAGCAATTTCATCCCTCTGGCAGTTTCAGCAACTTCCTCTGCATCCAACATCGCAAAAACAGAAGTCACGTGCATACCCGCAAGTATTGTTTGGAAAGAGTTTCTTTCTCAGGATTGATTCACAAGTCATCAGCAGGACAGAAGCTTTGGAGGAATGGAGAGAGGCTACTGAACCAATACGAACACAATATATACCATGAGATGGCAATCAGTAGACCCAGACTCTTCAGTTTGGTGTAGTGGTTAAGTGCGCGGACTCTAATCTGGGAGAACCGGGTTTGATTCCCCACTCCTCCACTTGCACCTGGCTGGATGACCTTGGGCAAGCCGTAGTTCTGATAAGAGCTGTTCTTGAAAAAGAGCTGTTTCTGTCAGAGCTCTCTCAGCCCCAAAAATCTTTCCTTCTTCAGAGAGAGCCAGTTTGGTGTCGTGGTTAAGTGCACGGACTCTAATCTGGGAGAACAGGGTTTGATTCCCCACTCCTTCACTTGCACCTGGCTGGATGACCTTGAGCAAGCCATAGTTTTGATAAGAGCTGTTCTTGAAAAAGAGCAGTTTCTAGCAAGAGCTCTCTCAGCCCCACCCACCTCGCAGGGTGTCTGTTGTGGGGAGGGGAAGGGAAAGGAGTCTCTAAGTCGCTCTGAGACTCTGAGTGAAGGGCGGGGTATAAATCCAATGTCTTCTCCTTCAAGTAACTTATGAATATAATACAATGGCGCTCAATGTAACTTATATGTTCCTTGTTATATCTATCAATACAAGTATTGCAATAAACAACATTGTCTGTTTCTTATATCGGGCACTATTGTATTATTCATAAATAACTTTAAGAAGAGTCTGTGTCTATTGGTTGCCATCTCATGGTATATATTGTGTTTGCATTGGTTTACAGTCCATGAGCCTGTAATTTGGTGTCAGAGGCTACTAAAGACAGAACACGGTTTGAAAGAGCAGCTCCCTGCACAGTGACAGGGATTGTCAGCACACTACCTTTCTTCACTCTCTTTGCAAGAGGAGGACTGGACGTCTTTAGCAGCACAAAAGAGCTTGCTGCGTGCGAATTCTAGAACGTTACTTTCTTTGTTGAAGGCCAAATTCTCGTGTTTTTCACACTGCTGTTCAGTTACAGTGAGAAATAAATAGCATTTCTTAGAAGCTGCTGCCTCTGTCTTGAAAGCTCTGCGCCCCCCTCCCATTCCATATGTGGAGAGGGACTGTAATTAACTGGACTGGTTACAGTACTGGACGAGGTTCTCAAGAGGTCTGGATTCAAATCCCGATTCCGCCACCAACAGTTCACCGGCTTTTGGGCCACTCATTCTCTCAGTCTAAACTACCTCACAGGGCTGTTGTGAGGGGGTAAATGGGGGAAGAAACAACGTATGCTGCTCAGACCCATGACCTGCTTTTGATTCCAACTTGCAACATCATACGCAGTTTGCGTGATTTCCTTTATAGATCCATTTCTCTCTTTTCTTCCAGTGACCAGATCCAAAGAAAATGAGAAACCTTCACCAGTTAGTCAGAAGAGAGACAGTGTGGTGTGGTGGTTGCGGTGCCAGACTAGGGAAGACAACAAGTTCAGATCCTACACACAGCCATTTTATTTCAGGTATTTGTACTGTTGCTTTCATCCCAGCACAGGCCGAGATTGGCAACCACGGAATTCACCAGAGGACTCCGAGCCGATCGTTCCCTCTCTCAGTCTGGCCTACCTCACAGGGTCATCGTGAGGGCAAAATGGAATCTGAGGCAAGATCCCACGTGTGCCCCTGAACTCCTTGGAGGAAGTGTGGACTAAAGACACCACTAAATACTAAAATATAATAATCACTCCTACTATGACTAATAGAGATATACCTATAAAGTACAGCTAGATTCAAGTCCACTAGCGCCTTAGTGACCAACAGGGGTCATTTCCTGCAGGAGTGCACAGGAGCAGAGCTCCGGCAGTAAAGAGCCCAGGGGGCGGGCATATGCAACAAGCCCCACCCCCTGCTCCCAGCAGCCCTCAGTCAGAGCAAGAAGCAGGCAGGTAAGTTGCAGAGCCCCACCCACCTACCCCATCCAAAACAGTCCAATGGCACCTTTAAGACCAAGTTTTATTCAGGTACAAGCTCTCCCTCCTCTGTGAGGACAGGTCTGCACGTTTCCGCCCCACACACCAATAGCTAGCAATCCAAAACAGTCCAGTGGAGCCTGAGCAGCGGGTGTTGCCTTCTGACACACTTCCGGTGATGTCAGGGGGTGTGGCATATGTAAATAAGTTATGCTGATGAGTTATGCTAATGGGCACCTGCACCTCTTTTTCTACGAAATGACCCTGGTGACCAATAAGATTTTCAGAGAGCAGAGACCTGACAAAGGGAGCTTTGATTCTCGAAAACTTACATCCCAAAAATCTCACTGGTCTCTTAAGGTGCTACGGGACTCAAGTTTAGCTGTTCTGCTGCCCACCAACATAGCTAACCTCTCACACTACAAAGTACAGAACAAAGTCAGAGTCCAGCAGCACCTTTAAGACCAACAAAGTTTAATTCCGGGTATAACCTTTTGTGTGCATGCGATCTGAAGAAGTGTGCATGCACACGAAAGCTTATACTCAAAATTATACTTTCACCTTAAAGGTGCTGCTGGACTCCGACTTTGTTGTGTTGCTTCAGACCAACAACAGCTAACCACCTGAAACTATAAAGTACAGGTTGCCATACAGGGTAGGGAGGAAAACTGTACCTTTTGGATTTCACATAAGGGAACAGAAAACTTTGTACCTAGCGCAAAGTTTCATCTCTTCTGTGAAGATAGATACAGGTAGTCAGTTCTGCTGGTCTGAAGCAGGAGAACAAATGTGGAGTCCAGTGGCACGTTTAAGACCAACAAAGGTTTATTCACGGTATGAGCTTTTGTGTGCAAAGCACACTTTTTCAAGATTTGAAAAGTATTCGAAAAAGTGTGCCTTGCACACAAAAGCTCATAGCTTTGTTGGTCTTAAACGTGCCACTGGACTCTACATTTTTTCCATCTCTTCTATTTGTTCCCTCCCCTCCAAAAAAAGCCAAATACTAGAGATGAACCCAATACTTACAGCTCCCAGTCCAAGGTTCTTATCAGTCACGTATAAATTACACCAAGAGATTTTACAAAATGTACCAGAACTTTAACTGTTTTAAACTTTTAAATATTGCTGTGTATCTATTGTGCATAAGATTTTCTCATGAATGGTACTATATGATTGATGCTGGTCAATGACTGTATTAATAGAACTTATCGCTTAAATAGTAGAGATGTATCCTTATTATTTGCAGCCAGGACCCTAGGCAAATTACAAGCTGAGAAAAAAACTTCACAGTCGATCACCCAGCGGATCACAAGGTATGATAACATCTGGATCCCAAGCTACTAAGATTCCTGGGAAGACAGAGCAAGGCGGTTGGGCTGGAATTGTAAAGCAGGGGTGGGTGGGGGCCGCGGTAAGTCATGCATATGTGTCTGTCTAAGGCAATGAACTAACCAGTTCAAGATAAGACTGTCTCCCTAATCAGCCACCTCCTGAGCTAGACTTTTAGCCCTTCTTACCTGCCAGTGATTGACAGAAGACACCTTCCTCCCACCCCCCCTCAAGCTCCACAGCCAATCAGGGGCGTGGCGAGGAGAATCCCGTCTCCTCCCTTCGTTTAGGGCGTGGCCTCGCCCCTCCCACCCTCGGGGAACGCTGCGCGCGCAGCCCCTCCTCAACTCTACACAACCCCCCCCCGCACCCCCAGGGTAAGGAGAAACATTTCGCGGCAGCCCCCTCACCTGGAAGGGATTCACGTCCACCGGGTCCGCGAAAGGGTTCGTGTCGAAGGCCGACATGGCCGGTTCCGGGCTCGGTCAGGCCGCCTCCTGCCACCACCGCCGCACCTGCTCTCAAAGCGGTCCGCTTCCTGCTCCCTAGAAACCAGACAAGAAAGCCCCTTCCGGCAGGAGGGTTCCGCCTCCTCTGCGCATGCGCGTTACGTCCACCAGCGGCCGGCCGTTCGCAGGCGCGTGACAAAGCGGAGCTTGTGACTTCACCGGGGAGGTGAGGAAAAGGAGCGGTAGGCGAGGCGCATGCGCAAGAGGGAAAGCGTTTCTGGCTTTGTACTCTCCGCCCTGGCGGGACTCCGGAGAGGGGACGATGCCTTCTGAGCATGCGCGCTAAGTATCGGTTCGGCCCGAGTTGTATGTATTGTCTCGACTAGCTTGCAAATTGGGAAGCTGGAAGCAGCGATTGGTTCATGGGTTGTTTTAGCGGCTAATTGGCCTTTTAATTGCCGCTTCCGGTTAATTATTTAAATGTGGTGATTGCCCATTTTACTGTTTAAAAACCCAGGTCTTTAAAAAGTGAGCAGAATTAATTAAGATTAATAAAATAATGCAGTTTAATAGTACACTGTACTAGGCGCATGCAAGCCACAGAATGTTGCGTCGTAGTAGTATTAGTAATAATTCCTAATCTGTCCCGATGCAAAACAATAACGTTGCAGATTTGGGTTAAGCCTCACTATAGCCCCCTTTTGCAAACACTTTTGTGGAAACCGGATGCAGGGAGGCTGCAAGTAAAAAAAAAAGGGCTCCACTTTGTATTCGGGTGGTCGGGCCCCGAGGCTTTATGGTGCAAAAGCCACCGCCCACATTCCACAGGTGCAGCCTCGCCCCCTTCCACCCACGTGCTGAGACAAGGGGCGGCTGCACCCGTTGAATATCTGCCTGCTCCCGCCCGGCAAGGGAGAAATCAAAGGTCAGCGCGCCTGCAAACGGCTCTGGGGCTCCAGGGCGGCTCCGAATCTAACTCCCGCTTTGGTCAATCGCGATTTTGCAGCCTCCTCCTGCCACGGAATTGAGAATCCGGAGCGGGGGAACTACCTTTCCCGGCGTGCACGGCCCGGGCGCCTGGAAGAGGCGGCGCCTCTCGGCTCCTTTCGCCGGCTGGGAAATGAGGCCGGGCAGCTTCGCAACGATGGCAGAGTTGAAAGGTGAGTGATTCAACGAACGGCGCTGCGTGGAGGACCCCCCCGGGGGGGAGACCCAGACCGGGTCTACTCGGGAGTAAGCCCCCGGGGGGGCACGATCCTCCGGGGCCGCCGTGCCTTGGAGGGCTCCAGCCCCACGGCTTTGGGGAGACAATGCACCCGGAGACGGAGAATGAAAGAGTTGAAAGGTGAGTGATTCAACGAACGGCGCTGCGTGGAGGACCCCCCCGGGGGAGAGACCCAGACCGGGTCTACTCGGGAGTAAGCCCCCGGGGGGCACGATCCTCCGGGGCCGCCGCGCCTTGGAGAGCTCCAGCCCCACGGCTTTGGGGGGACAATGCACCTGGAGACGGAGAATGACCGCCTTTTGCTTTCCCTGGCTGGCAACTTCGTGGACGCATCCAGCCGCCCCTTGTTGGAAACGGGATGCTGGGTTTGGTCCAGTGTTCCCTCTAAGCTGACTTAGTGCGAGCTAGCTCACCGTTTTTTAGCCTCCGGCGCACACATTTTGGCCTTGGCTCCGGGAGGATGGCTCTGTCCAGAGCAAACTGATTTTTACAGTTAGCCAAATTGCTGGCTCGCAACTTTATTTCCAGGAGCTCCCAAACTGGAATTTTTGCTCACAAGACCCCACAGCTTCGAGGGGCCATGGGTTAGGTCAACAGCAGCGAGGACGGCTTGAAGCGGGGTATTCCTTTATTTTAAAAGCTCAGTTGATTCGGGACGGACTGGACTCAAACTTTGTTCTTGGCACAGAGAGTGATTAAAATGTGGGAGGATGTAGGTATGGCCATTGGCACAGAGGGCTTTAAAAGGGGTTTAGACAGATTCGTGGAGGATAGGTTCTGTTAGTGGCTACTAGCCGTGGTGATTAAACAGAACCTCCAAATTCAGAAGCAGTCAACCTCTAAAGGGAACCTCTGTGTTCAAAGATGGACCACTGATCTGATCCAACAGAGCTCCTCTGATGTTCTTATGAAGGTCTCAGCCTCTCTGCCCTGTTGTTGGCTGTCCAGAGGAACTGATTGGCCACTGTGTGAGACAGGATGCTGGACTAGATGGACCACTGGTCTGAACCAGCAGGGCTCCTCTGATGTTCTTATGAAGGCCTCAGCCTCTCTGCCCTGTTGCTGGCCCTCCAGAAGGACTGGTTGGCCACTGTGTGAGACAGGATGCTGGACTAGATGGACCCTGGTCTGAACCAGCAGGGCTCTCATGGTGTTCTTATGAAGGTCTCAGCCTCTCTGCCCTGTTGCTGGCCCTCCAGAAGAACTGGTTGGCCACTGTGTGAGACAGGATGCTGGACTAGATGGACCCCTGGTCTGAACCAGCAGGGCTCTTCTGATGTTCTTATGATGGTCTCGGCCTCTGTGCCCTGTTGCTGGCCCTCCAGAAGAACTGGTTGGCCACTGCGTGATGCAGGAGGCTGGACTAGACGGACCACTGGTCTGATCCAGCAAAGCTCCTCTGATGTTCTTAGGAAGGCCTCGGCCTCTCTGCCTGTTGTTGGCCCTCCAGAGGAACTGATTGGCCACTGTGTGAGACAGGAGGCTGGACTAGATGGACCACCAGCCTGATCCAGCAGTGCCGTTCCGATGTTAGGCTCCATGTGGCAGAATGAAGCATGACCTTGACCCCAAACCAAGCAGCGGGAGGAGGCGGTGAGACGGGTGGAGAACCGCCCTCTCGGTCACCATCATAAAGAGGCGCAAATGCATATTTATGTATGGGGACAGTGCCAGTGGCAGTGAGCTGCTGTGAACCACGTGGATTTCTGGTTAACCGAAGCCCGGAGATGCGGAAAGGTTATTTGAAATGCCAGTACGGTGTGTGTGATGCCTTCCAGGGCACAACAGCCTGCTCAAACTCTTCTCGACGGTCTCAAATTAGACCCACAGCCCGTCTCGGGCACATGACGATGGCTTTTCGAAGTGCTGTGGCTATTTATAGGCGCCAGAGAGCCTTTAGCATTTGGGAGCCTCACTAAAACAATCTCTCATCATTCTCCTGT